TACAAATAAATTTGTCAATAATGCAAATAAATCCGAAGATAACATAAATAAATCTGTGAGTGAAGTAAATAAAGATGTAGAAGGAATAACAAAAGATAATTGTGAAATGACAATATTTAAAGAAAATTCCATCAATAATTCTGCAAAAAATGAAAATGAAATAGTAGAAATAAAAAATATATCGAATACAACATTAAATGTAAACAAATTTGAATTACCAAAAAATTTTGCAACTTTGGCTAATATACAAGTTTTACCATTAGATAAATTAACAACAACTTGGAGTAATGTAAATTGTAGTACTTCAATAGCTGTACAAGTAAATCTTGATGATAATGCACAAACGCAAAAGCAGATTGGAGAAAGTGATACAAATCAACAAAAAAGTACAGAGATATCTACTCAGACTGAAAACAACAATGAAAATGATGATGAAACTGATGGTCAACTGTTTTACATACCTTTACAAGCTGTCACAAGAAATGGACCAAATTTAGTTCAAGGACAGCAATTAATTCAAGGTGTAGCTGTAAAACTCGGTACTGAAGGACCAAATGGTCCTAATCAAAAAGTTCTTTTAAGAGCAAAATTGGTTACTAAACCTCCATCATCAATTGCACGTTGTCCTCCTGTAGGAACAGTACAGCCTACAACTCGTACTCCACCTAATTCTAATTTAATAACGACTGATCATTCAATACCATCTACTTCTTCAAGTACAGTATCAACTGTTACTACATCTAATTCCGAACTTCAACCATCTACTCCAAATAAAAATGAAAACATGGTACAAATTGCAAATAGGCAAAATATTGGAACTGGATTAAATATAGGAACTGAAAAATTGCCAAAATCACCAAAAACTCCTAGAGAAAGAAAAACCTCAATTGATTCAAATAAGAATGGGAAAAGGTAATACAAGTTGAACGTAAAAAGAATTGCGGCTTCACTTTTCACTTTATTAAATACATTATTATCTATTTCTAAAATTTTAGATGTCAGATCAAAGCAAAACAGAAGGGTTCTGAAATTTATTCTCCCATCAATAATGTGACATTTCCAAGTGCAAAAGATGAAAATAATGAAGCACGATTAGTTGAAGCTCCAACATTTCATCCTACTGAAAAAGATTTCCAAGATCCTTTAGAATACATAGATAAAATAAGGCCAATTGCAGAGAAATTTGGAATATGCAGAGTTGTACCACCACCTAATTTTAAAGTAACATTCATTAAAAGTTGTTGCATAATTAAATGTATATATTTACAAAATATAAATACATTCTTTTCTCTATTTTAGCCGGAATGCAAAGTATCAGATGATATGAGGTTTACTGCTTACAATCAATATGTACATCGTATGTTACATAGATGGGGTCCCAATGTGAAAGAAATGATGGCTATAAAGAAATATTTAGCTACACAAAGCATAACATTAACTCATCCACCTTGGGTACAGTTTCATATTTATGATTTTTTTCTACTTTCTTTAATGTGTTTATTATTTCAATTCTTTTTCTTTCTTATAGATTGGTGGTATGGAAGTTGATTTGCCTCATTTATATCAAACAGTTCAAAGTTTAGGCGGATTAAAGGAAGTGATTGAAAAGAAAAAGTGGCAGAAAGTAGCTGATGGGATGAAAATACCAAAATCTGCTCAAGATCGTGTAACCAAATTGGATGACATTTACTGCAAATACTTATTACCATATGATACATTATCTCCAGGTATTTGTGCATAAATATAGGAAATATAGTAATATAAGAAACTATAATATTTTAAAATTATTTATCAATAAAATAATGCGATTTAGAGGAACGAGGTAAATTATTTGATGAAGTCGAATCTGAGTGGATGAAAAGAGAAAGTAGAGTTTTACAAAGGCAAAATGCACCAATAAGTGAAAATGAAGAAGATGAAGATGATGATAGTTCTGACGAAATTGAGGAATGCATCGTTAAAGTGAGAATTCTAAAATTATAATCATAACCACATAATTTTCAGTTCTTCGTGATTTATATAATATATTGTATATATGAATATTGTATATATAAGTATTGTATATATAATATTGTATATATAATATTGTATATATAAATATTGTATATATAATATTGTATATATAAATATACAATTTTACAGGGTAGAAACATGCCGTTAAACGCTTTTTATCGTATTGCACGAAACACACAACGTATGTGGTTTGGTGAAAATCAACGATCTGGAAACGAAACAGAAGGCGCTTCTGCTGATGAGGTTGAAAGTGCATTTTGGAAACATGTTGCAGAAAGGAAAAGACATGTTTGTGTACACGCTGCAAGCATTGATTCAAGTGGACGCGGTTTTGGATTTTCGGTTGCTAAAAATAGTCCGTTCGCAAGACATCCATGGAATCTTAAAGTACTTACTAATAACGCTGGCTCAGTACTGAGAGCTTTAGGTCCTATAATGGGTATAAAGCATTTCTTTAAATTTGTATAACTAAAACATATGTTATAAATTGATATTTTCTTATTTACAACCGTTTTAATTTTATTTGCAGGTGTGACTGTACCAACACTTCATGTGGGTATGTTATTTAGTGCATGTTGTTGGTACCGTGATCCTCATGGTCTTCCTTGGATAGAATATTTGCATACTGGTGCTAAAAAAATTTGGTACGGTATACCCGACGAACACAACAATAACTTTAGAGAGGCTCTTTCAAAAATGGTTCCACGATATTGTAAAAATAAAACTATATGGCTGCCATCAGATACAGCAATGGTTCCTCCAGAATTATTGGTTAGTAACGGAGTATCACTATGCCAGACTGTTCAGGAACCAGGGCAATTTATAATTGTATTTCCTAAAGCATTTACATCAAGTATATGCACTGGTTATGTAGTATCTGAAAGTGTTTACTTTGCACAACCATCCTGGTTAGAAACTGCTGAACAAGTATTTAAAGTAAGTGAATAACATTCCTCTATTTTTATTTTACATATTTTATAGAATGGCAAAATAATTTTAAATAATTATTATAGGATATACAAGATAGTTGTGAACCATCAATCTTTTCATTTGAAAGATTATTATTTAATATTATTAATGACTCTAGATCTCATATAGAAGTATTAAAACAGGTAAATATGAGAGCTAATAATTATGAGATAAAAAATGTAAAACTACATATATGATTTATAAATAATTATATTTGCAGATTCTAGCAAGTGTAATTAAAATTCGTGAAAAAGAAATAGGTTATCGTAAACAATTAGAATCAGTAGGTCTCATAAACACAGAAAGATTACCTTTACCAGATAGTGGAAAACGAAAGAAAGGAAAAAAAGTAAAAGAAGATGATGGCGACTTTGAATGTGAAACTTGTAGAGCTAATTTGTTTGTTTCATTAGTGAGTAATTCACAAGATGACAGTGTTTACTGTTTACCACATGCATTGCAATTATTTAATAGAAAGAAACAAATTTTAAAACATTGTACTCTAATGTACACATACAACGAGGTAAATATGTTTCTTTTTAATTCAAGTGGCTTTTATAAATAATAATTTTATTTAAAATAATTTTTATTTTCGTAATAGGAGGAATTAAATGATTTGATCCATAAACTAGAAGAAAGAATTGAAGCCAAATCTAAAAAGACTAATCAAATCAAACAAACAAAGTAAGGGGTTTACAAAGTTATTTATTAAATTACATACATAACAATTATTTATTAATCTATCTAATAATAATTACAGAATTTTGTTTTATATATATATATATCATATTTATTATTTTTCTCATAATAATACAATTGTATAAAAAAATTTGTTTCGTAATTTTAAAAAAAAATCAACTTCATTATTAGTATTAGTATAGTATTTAAAAAATTAAATAATTTAATGTGAACCTCTAATGAAATCCCTAAGTTTCAAAATAAAAAGATTACTTTTACCATCTGTAAATCGTACTTCTAATTGCAAGTACGATACCAAAACACATATTTTTTGCATTTTATTCTCGTATATTATAATTATAAATATAAACTATATATAAATTATGTTTCAATAGTTTACAGAGTTATAGAAACATAATCTTATTAAATATTTCTTACAATAGACGAATTCCATAGGACTTATTTAAGAATTAAATAAATAATAACATATAATAGCATACTTATGTATACAAAGTTTATTACGAATACTTTAAGATTATAAAATAAAAATTATAACATTCTCAATATGAGAACATACATATTAAATAAATTTCTTTGACAAAATACATTATTATTATCCTTATGCAAATTAACATGTATATCATAAAATCAAATAAATTACCATAAAATTACATAATTATATGAAGCATTGTTTTTATACTGTATAATTAATTTGTATAATATTAACATCAAATTACATAAAATACGATTTATGAATATAAAAAATTAATAACCTCTTTGTCTACTGTAATGTTTTTGTATATTTGTCCTTATAATATTATAAGAATAATATTAAATAACAATAATGGCTGTTCACACAAATTTTGATTAAAAAGTTGTTAATTAGATATACCTTTTTTTTAAATTAATAATAATTTATAAAATGTGCACAGTTTTTCAATGTTTACATTATCATCTATTATTATGCTGTGTATTTCTGGAAGTCTTGTTATTTGTATATAAATATATGTATATAGCATAAATAAGATCAAATGTGAAAAATACTACTAAATAATAAGGTATAGTTATGCTATTTTTAAGCAAGGAACTAATAACACAGGCTGTAAGTAAATAATTATAAAATAAATTTCCTTTTAAAGTTATTTACTATACATATATGTACTTTGTTTTATATATGTATATTATTTGCACTCTTTAAGTTTTTAAGTGTTTAAATAAAAATTTGTTTGTTTTTCGAAATAATATTAAAAAAATAAATTTATACATAATTTTACATGCATAAATAATATCCTTAAAAATAGGACATAAATAATAATTATTAACATTTTCATTGAAAATTAAGGATTATAAATTTAATAATTAAATTGAGGTGTAAAAATATGTATAAAATGCGGGAAATAGTATATAATTAGATATGGAATGACTTTTCAGAATAAATAAATTTTATGTCCTTGTATATCAATGTTAAAGTTTAGACTTTACTGTTCCCTACGTTGCAATATGTTAGATAGTATCTGAGTAGAATTCTCACCATGTTTAACTGTATCATCTTCATCTGAACTGAATTCCGCGTTTAAAAGATTTGTTAGCGATGTTGATTTTTGAGTTAACAAAGGTAAATTTGTATCGATTACCTCTTCAGTTTTAAAATTATTACTTGAAAGAGAATTTACTTGTAATTCCAAATTTTCAGCTTTTTTGTTCCTATTGGATAATGCTTTTTGTATCGTATGAATTGTGATTCCACAAAGGCACATTAACAATCCTACAAAATTAAGATGACTCATTTGATCACCTTCCCATTCAACAGCCAAAATTAAAATAAATATTTCCTAGAAAGACAATAATTTAAAGATTTGTACCCAAATATTAATATTTTACTTGTATATTCCAATATTCAATAAAGTTATATAATATTATGTTATTTAATATGTAGTTAATTTACCTTAATTATGCCAATAATTGAAAGTGTAAGACTAGAAGTATATGTAACAACTAAAAATTCCATAACTTCCATATGGAAAGCTATAATAGCACTTCCAAATACAGCAATTATAGTCATTGTAATAGTTTGAACATCATTCCAATCTGTATTTTTAAAACTATTGTATAGATGAGATCCTAAAAATAATATATTTTTTTACCTTTTTCAAAAACACAGTAACATAATATTTACATATACAATTTAAAAAAAAAATATAGCTGTACATTTTACATATATATACCTTCAAACCATATCATCACTGGTACAATAGGTAATAACATCCATAACTGCATATAGTACATCATGTCAATTGGACTTTTCATTCCAAGTTTAGATTTTTGCATAACTAGTTGTGTCATAGTCCACCGAATACCACTTAAAAATGATGCTAAGAGACAAATTACAAATCCAAAAACTTCAAATTGTGTTGATTTATAAGTAAACATAAATAAACCTCCTGATATCATTACTACAATACATGATAATGTCCAAGACTATAACAAAATTATTTCTTTAATATATTATATTTGAAGCATTCATATAGGAAATTAATATTACTACCTTTTTCTCCAACTTCAAAAAGAGTGCAAATCCAAGAATAAAAATAATAGAAGTCGATTTTGTCATAGTATATCTAAATAACAATATAATTCATTAATACTATCACAAAGTCGTAAATATATTTTATTTTGTTCTTAATGTAGAATATTAAATACATACAATGACATAGTAATTAATGAAATTGCCCAATTTGATAGACCTATATCAAGGCCACTAGCTATGCCAATTGGCATAACCATTCCTATTATGCTTTGTAAAGGAAGTTTTAATTGTTGTTGTTTCTTCCAACATGTTTTAATACATCTTATTGAGGCAGAAAACAAAAATTTTATTAATAAGTGACATATCACCACAACAAGTGGAAAATGAAATCCCTAAAAAATGAGTGCATATATAAAATAAAATCAAATAATAAACTCTTATAAATCACAGATATCTTCACTTACATATGTATTATAAAGCCATTGTACATAAAAAGTTAAACCTACAGACAACACAAAATAGCACAGAATTAATATGATAATTTGAAAAGATTTTTTCCAAAAAGATACTTCTTTTTTAGACAGATTTGGAAACTCTTGGACTGGTTCGAGAAAATAATCTGATGTATCATCTGTATCTTTCGCAATTTGATATTTTATATGTGATCTTGTCATACTTCAGAAAAAAATAATCTGTAATGACAAATTTACGATATTAAATATAGTATTAAAAATGTATAAATAATATATTCATTTACTACATAACACAGTTAAACATAAGAAACAGTGAATTATTAAATGGTATTTGCAGAATACAATCCTTATTTTAAATCAATAACACTTTTAATTAAGATTCACGATTTATGATAACATTATGCAATGTAGTAAAATATAACCGAATGTTATAACAAATATGTTAAACGTACCGTCTTAGAATTCTTTAAATACATAAAAAATACTCATAAATTGTTATGTCTAACTTAGACATCTGTTATTTTAAGTTATATGTTTAACAAAAGAAATAATTGTGTAACAATGACGACAGAATTCACATTCATTCTGTAAATTTATAATGTATTTAAAATTACAAGTGAGAACATTAGAAAGAAAACAAAATTAAAGTACATACATATCGTTATCACTTACTTCGATGTGACATACGATATACATAAACGTGAAGTCATGTATAAACATAACCTAAAAATTATAGTAGACAAAAATGTGGCATATCACAATCTGATAAATGCATATTATCACAGTAATCTTCTTATCATTTTGAAATTTCTTATGGTGGTAAACTTATTTATAGAATTATCTATACTTTGGCTGAGTTTTTTTTAAAAACCTTGACTTTAAAGTAAACACAAATACTTAATATATCCTTACTTTTTAATAATTGGGTTATTTATTATCCGGCACATCCATTATTTAAAAAATTGACACCAATTTTAATGTTATAAAAATTGAATTTAATTATGTACAAAATATAAATATTAAATAAAAATAGGGTCAATGTACACAAAATAATTGATAGTTATAAGTAGTAATAAATACTGTACATATTTAGTTTTCTATTTAACGCTTCTGATGAAAATATACAAAGTCAATAATCATATATTTTTATTTTAATGTATATTTACACTGAGTAACAACATCATATAATAAATTCAAATATGTTTTATATTAAATTTTTTGTATACAGATTGAATATTTTTCAAAATTATTTTATCCTTATTTACTCAGTGTAAATTAAACATACACATATTATTGTTCTTTATTTTATAAAATATATTTTAAAAAATTAGCAAATAAAATTATTTATCAGTTAAATGCAGACATTATATACTTTATATATATATTACATTCATTTATCAGAGTAAGAGAAATTTGATACTTTTACTATGATTTGAAGACAAGCTCCAGATTTAAATTAAGAAATGTACAAAACTCAATGATTCCAAATATATGAATTAAAATTAATTCACTGAAACATTAATATATTATATCATTGATGATAGTATTTTTCATCTATTCTACTTAATTGGATTGTCTTCAATTCATGATGTTATATTCTAAGACAAATCTATCGTATACATTAATTCATGAATACACATATACAGGATTATTAAAAAAACAGTATATTACAGTTATCCTAAATATTATATAACCAATTGCATATTTTTATTACACATATATAATTAACCACTTTTTATTTATATGTTATCTACGATCACTGCGTCCACCATTTCTGTACCCCCCACGACCACGAGAATTAGTTTTTGTTGCAACAGATGTTTTTGTTGTTGAATCACCAGAATATCTTGCAGATCCCCCTGGAAGTCCTGAAGTATTACCACTATTTCCACCAGTGCTATTATTATTATTGTTTCCACTCTTTGTTGTTGTTGAACTACCAGAAGTACCACTAGCAGGTGTTGTTGAATTACTTTGAATTGTCTATGATAAAATAAATTAATACTAATATTAATAGAAGCACGAAAAGTAGCTACACTCTTTGTAAAATTAGAAATAAATCTATTATTAATATCTAATTAAAAGCAATGAATATATTGCACAACATACCAATGGTTGCCTTCCAGGTTGGCCAGTGATATTATTTGCATTTCCATTATTTGTAATAGTATTGTTAACATTACTACCAGGTGGACCAGAACCACTTTGGTTAATCATTTGTTGCGCTAAAGCAGGATTTGGTTCACTCATGTTTAACTGTTCATTTATTACCATACAAAATTCACCAATTTTTTGTATGTCTCCATTTTTTCCAGAATACAAAGTTAAGCATTGTCTCCAAACAGAAGCATAACCTTTTGTTAATCTTACAATATCCCCTGGTACTAAAAGCTGTCCAGGTTCGTCCCAAATTGAAACATTCATGCATGCTGTACTGTCTGCCACTTTAAACGTTCGAACTTCGCGGTTTTCTTTGGTAATGGTAGGATGACCAACTTCCAGAACAATAAACACTACATTAATGTTTTTTTGACCCGGCCGTATGTCTTTTATCAATACGTATTCCATTGTTTTGACAATCAATATGCACTTTACACTAGCACTCTTTACGAATAATCACCTATACGTGTATATTTGAAAATACGTCAGATATACTTTGTTACTTTACGTACTATTTAATTTAACTTCCCTATTATCTTCAATATGTTGTTCGATATCGTATAACTACATCAATTTCTTTCTACCAGTACTTAGAATGACACTAGTGAATGTTCAAAATATTTGGTTGCGTAAAGTAAGAAAGAAGTTCATTAGAAAGGTAATACGGGTGTTATGCTGTTGGTAGCTGGTAGAATGAATATCGGCCATCTTATTTTAGTACGTCATATAGACACTAGTTTCGCTACTGTCCTATAATATGCGCGTCATCGAAATAATCTGGCAGCAGCTGGTTGTAACATGAATGTACTGTTATTACTACGTAGGGTAAAACTGATACATCTATTCGAAACATCATATATGTGTATTATATGCATATATGCAAATACATGATTATCTATACACAACTTTTATACATATATACGTAGCAACTGCATATAGAATTTATGCATACATTAAATGTATGTACTTTAGTTTATTTTTTTTATAAAAATAAAAAAAAAAACAATTTTACTACTATACAAAGTATACATATTGTTTGTTATATATGAAAATTATATTTAAATCCTTTCAATTGAAACTTTATGTTATGTCGATTACGTTATGTTTTTTAAAGAATAATATAGTCTGTTGAAAAATTGCGAATGAATTGGAAACGAAATTATTTTTCATTTAACAATATGTAGAATGTAATTTAACTGTAGATCTATGAAATTTACCTAGTAAAAGATTCAAAATCTATTCCCTGAAATTTGTCATATCAGTTAGCAAGTTAGGTAAACGCGTTCTACTACTACGAAGTTTGTGTTCCATTCGATAATTATTCAAGAAATAAAAATATTTTTAAAGATCTGCTTATTTTTGAATGCCTATCAATGTTAACCCAGGGAGATAATCATAAGTAGTAATATTGAACTTCTTTTTATTATGACAATATTAGTTTAAGAATAAACTAATGTCAACATTACACTTTTAGATAATGGACGTGGACGAATCTCTGGATCCGAAAGAATTGAAAGTTACCCTCGAAACATATAAAAAATTGGCGAATGATTTTGCAAATCATGATACGATTTTGAAGGTAGGAAATTTTTCAAAATTTGTTTATACTTTATTTTTATAACAAGGATTACTGATTTTAGGATAAAACAGTTTTGTCGTATGTAGCGTATGTCTTAGAAGTACCCGATTTTGAGATTGTTAATTTGAGTTTAGATATTTTGGAGTTATTTGTTAAAAACGTGGATAATTATGTACACATAACCTCTACTTTTGGAGTTCGTGAAGCCTTGGACGCAATTATAAATAAGTACAATGTAGATAAACCAAAGATATCTAAACGAGCACAATGTATAAAAGATGACATAGAAAGAATGAAACCACCAATATATAATTTACGTAGCAGATGTAAAAGAGTTATAGAGCCTAAAAAGTTAAAGACTCATGTGATTGTATTACATGTTCAAGGCTTATTACCGGTAAATACATACAGATAGCATGTATATGTTTTAATTTTATGTATTTATTATTTCATAAAAATTATATATGCATATGAAATAGGAAACTCGTGCAGAGCTGGAAGCAATATTAATAAGAATCAATGGACTAGTTTCTCTGGTAGTTGATGTAGAACATCAGCGTGTTACAATGCGTACTTTAAGTTATGTTACTGCCAAACAAATTGCAGAAGCTATCCAAAAAAATTCTGAGAATATGGAAGCAAGATTGGTGACACGAAATAAATTCAATCAAGAGTATCTCGTTAAATTGGTAAATATTTGTACAGAGCAAAATTTCTAAATTTTAGGATTAAAATGAGTTATGATTTTTTTATTAACAATATATTTAATCATAAGATTCATACTGGAAATAATGGTGATACTGAAGACATGCCAGACTACTTACCTGAAGAAGATGAACAAGAAGATGAGAAAGAGGGAGTTGTATCATTATTGACTGGATTAAGACAAAGTGCTTCATCATTGTATAAATCCACTGCAGAATTTCTGCACAATTCATTTTATTGGTAAATTTGTAAGCTCTAGTATATTAAGTATTATTTTTTATTCTATTACTAATGAACAACTTTATAAAAGTAGAAAATGTTTGAAACTATAATTCTTCATAAACATGTTTTAATTTTTATTTATTTGACATATAATCTCAAGTTATTCATTTTTCATGACAGTTAATATAATACTCAAATATTCACTATATTTATTAAAATAGACTGAATATCTACCAGAAAGTGTAAATAAATTTAGTTTTATTATATGTAATAAAAATTTGATGTCCACGTTTAATGTTTGTCCTCAAGTAAACTGTACATATGTAATGTATTAAATCTTGTAATTAAGTAGAGCTATAAAATATAGAAATTTCAATATGATGATCTAAATGATTAGAACTTTCACATGTTCAATAATATAATAGAATAAAAAACATAATCATTAATTTGATAAATGTGAACAAGATTCAGATCGCTATTTTATGTTGAATGGATATTGAAACAGTGTTATACAGAAAGAAATTTATTTCAAATTATGTTAAATATATATAATAATTAAAATATTACGTTGTTTGTATGTATAGCAACTTTTATTGCTAGTAAGGTTTTTCTACCATAATAATATGTATACTTTGTTGTTAAAAATAGGCTGTGCAAATATTTATTGTATTTTGATAAGTTAATATATATATACTTACATGTAAAGTAACATACTACCACATAGCATCATTTTTCTTTACAACATTTGCTTTTTACTTAAATAAAGATTTCAGATCATATATATATTTTGTTTTCAAATGTTAATGCATATATAAATAATTAATACTTTATAATTTATATAAAAATAGTTTTATTTTAACAAAATCAATTATCTAATAAGTTTACAATGTTATTAAGGTTTGTAATTAAATTGCATATACCAATTATTGTAAATCAACTTTATTTATTTATAACACAAATTTTGTGTACTGCTTCTATTATTAAAGAATAATAGAACTAGTCAGTTTAGCTGCCACTGCACAAGAAGGAACAATTTATGCAACTACTCGCATAAATATAATAGATACAATATGTATGATTATCATAAAGTACATCTTTATATATCTTATTAATTACTTCGTCCAAATGAGCACATGAAAATGTTATATCATACCTTAGCTACTATTTTCTTAAGTTTATGTTGTATTGTCTATATTTACAATAGTATAGTAATTGTCATTAAGGCAATTTGAGTTTCAAAGCAGGTACAATAGATGGATGCAGACAGTACTTTGGACAATTGACTTAACGATGTCGTTTAGTTTTGCATGTGTAATTACGATATTTATTGTTATTAATTTGAGAGAATGAGTATATGACTTTTACATACAGTCCAACACTATTATTGAGTTTCAGTTTGAAACTCAGACAACCTGCATTGTTTTGACTATATCATAATACTACTTACACTAGTTTTCTAACATAGTCATTAAATTAGATTGTTTTCATTTATTGATTGAAAAATGAAACAATAAAATTTATTACATATAGTACATTAATGAAATCTGTAGTAAGATTATTGGTAAAAGTTTTAATGCATCAAAAATATTTAATGACTTTGTTACAGTAAAATAGCCCTCGAGCAATACCTCATGTTATTTATAATTTGATTTTATCGGAATAGCAGAATATTTATTGAATCGAAAAATTATTGTACTGATGTGATCCTATTTTCAGTTGCAAGCTTAATTGCTGTTTATTGCACATTAATTAGATTTTGTTATTTTATTTCAATAATCACTATTTGGTGTACTTTATGAAAATTGCCACAGGCACTTATGTTTTAAAATTTATTTAGTAATTGTCATTCCATTACATATTTTCTAAATTACTTTCAAAAGTATATTTTTCTAATGCAATATTTACTTTTATTTTATTGTATTTATATACAATAACTCTTTGTAAACTACCAAATAATATATGAGTTTATTGATTTTTAAAATTGATTTCTACATGGTGAATTTCATCTATACGTACAAGTGAATGCAATTATCAATAACTGATTTTGCATTCATCGTAGGAATGATTGATTTGAGTCTAACTGAATATTTTTTATTAATAATATGAAATAAATGCAATACATAATTGATAATAAGTTCATAATTGATTAGTTGAGAATTCTACATTTACTAAAAGGAACTATAAAAAAAAATATAAAACATAATGGAATGAATTTTAAGTAATGATTTTTTCTCTTTCAGACGCGAGCATGAGGTGCATGTATTTACAAATAATACTATATAACATGTTTATACACATGTTTGTGTAAATTTTCGATTCTGTTGAAAATATCAGCAATCTATATTTTATATTTTTCTTAGAAAAAATAGTTATTGATTTATGTTCATTTTCTATAGCGTATAATAAATCATATCATAGATAATGATAGAAAACAATTTCATTAAATTAATTCAGTTGTTGAATTTTGTAATAGTTTTCAAAAATAGTAATTTAAATTTTAATAAAGATTTAGAATGTGATTTTTATAAACTTTTCTCAGTAACTGTCTAGTATCTTAATAATATTAATGTAATATTTCATTGATAAATAATGCATAAAATTAATGTACATATATATCTAACATATACCTTAAATTGATAAATATCTACAATATTTAACACAGGATGAGAGCATACGCTACAAAAATGCACTGGTTGTTAGGTACTTATATCAATCGTAAATGAGATATAAAAATCCTGTTAATCTACACACTACTTTCTATTTTTAAGTTTGCAACTACTGGTTGAGATGCAATTGTAATCTCACTGACTTCATCTGTTTCCGATTGACTTGATGTATCAGAAACATCATCTATTTCTTTCCTCTAAATAAAAATAGAAATAAAAGTAAAAATATATTGTGTATTATACTGTATATATTTTTACTGTATTTTCAATAATATTACATTAATAATAAGAATTATTTTGACTCACCTTATGAGAATAGTGAATATTACGAAATACTCTTTGCATATCGGGATTACTTTCTAACGTGGAGGATTGACTGGACGGAGGATGTGAATATTCGGAAGTATTTTCCTCATCAGAAGCTAACACTCTCTCTATGCGTTCAGGTGCATGTTTAAATCTTCTTAATCTACATCCAGGACCAATTGGTCGCCTTGCAATACTTTAAAATAAATTCATTAAATTAAGATATGAATTCGATTAATTTCATACTTTTACATTATTCTAAAAAAAATACCTTCTTCTTTTTAAAGAGTAATTATACGTATAACTTGGATCTTCGCCTTCTTCATCTGACCAACTTTCCTCACATGCATCATCTTCACGATCGCATAAAGTATCCATACTTTCAGAACAAGGTCGAGTTTTAATTTCTGATTGTTCATGAGGTGTATTAGTATTGTTAACAATAATTCCACAAAAATGTCCGGACAGGTTTATAGGTTCTTCTTTGCCTCTGAAATGAACAATTATTTATTACTTTCAATTATTGTTGAAGTCCATATATTGATATATGTATATTTATATTAAATATGTTTTACCTGTGTTGTATCACATCATCGCAATTTCCATTATCTATAGGAGAAATAAGACGATTAGCATTAATAATTTCGCTAACTTTTCGACCAAGTGTTTCAAGATTATCGTCATCACTACAGTCCTTTAAACGTTCATTTCCATTTGCACGATTTTCATTTGAAGGTTCAGGACTGGAACAAGGACTAGATTGCATTCTATAATGAGCTTCGGATAAAACTGAATTTCCATTTAAACTTTCTGGTGTTTGTTTATTTAATGACTGTTTATTAAGACTATTTACAGAAAGTTTTTCTGTTGATGAGATTGTTGTTGTATGTCCAACAGGATTAAAATCAGTTTCGTTGATATCCATTATATCTGTTTGTGTTTGACTATCAACAAAACGTGCACATACTTCTGTACTCTGAAAATAGATATGCACCCAGCATTATATTTTAATTTGTTAATTAATAAGTACATATTCTCATGTTAGATACGTACTTTTCTTTCACGATGAGGACTCGATCGTGGGCTAGAATTTACACCGCATCCAGATCCTACTCTACGATGCCTATATTTGCGTTGTTTGAAACTATTATTAGGGACTAAAACTGTCTCTGGTTGATTAGATTCATTTAGTTGGGTACACATAGTTGCTTTTATAGGAGTTTGTGGACAGTCTGTTGGGGATGGTGGAGTTGTTGGAGTAGATGATGTTGAAAATTGAGGGTTACGTCTACGATGAAGTCTTTCTTGAGCCTTTATAAGAGGGTGTACAAGTCGCTTCTTACATTGCTTATACCCACTTTGTTGTTCTCGTCTAAGAGAGAAAATAAGATATATTAAAATTACTTACTATTAGCTATTCTAATTTTCTAATTTATTACTTACTTAATTACATCTCGTTCACGCTGTTCCAACTGCAATAAAACAGCGCTTAATTCTAAGTACAAATTATTAGTACGTTCGAGTTTACGTTCATAATGTTCTCGAATATCTTGAGCATGTCTTAATTCATCCTCACGTCGTCGAATGAGATCAGCTTCAAATCTTGGACTACTACAACTATTTGTCTGCATTTGTTTCATATGATCTCTAATTTCTTTTTTCCAAGATTGCTGTAATTATAAAAATTATAAACACCTTTTAATATTTAAATAGGTTTGTTTCATTTTTATTTTTAGGTTTTCAATTTACCTGTGTCTTAAAGTAATCATCAGGTTTTGTACATAGCACTTCAACTGCTGCAATTCCGAGATGAATTTCAATATGTTTAAAGGAAGGTCTATTACGTGGTTTTGCAGCCCAACATTGTTTTACAAGTAACCTGTAACCTTCTGGGCAGCTTGCAGGGATTGGTAAATGAAGAGAATTATTGCCCACGCCCCAAATGATTGCGGAAGAATCCACGTCTTTGTAAGGTATTTCTCCGCTTAAGAGTTCCCATAATACCACACCATACGACCATATATCTACTTTCTCAGAACAAGGCTCGTTTCTGATGATTTCTGGGGCCATCCAGGCAACTGTACCAGCGAAACTCATTCTTGTACTAATTTCATTCCATTCTCTACTAGTTCCAAAATCGCTAATTTTGACAACTTCTCCTTGTCCTATCAACACACTGAAATTGTAAATAGAATTTAGAAGATAAACACGTAAATATAGTACGTAAGTATAGTAAGACAAAGATGCTCTTATTTTATGAGGTAAATAAAAATTTACTGAGCCTAAAAATATATATGAATTTAATTATATTAGATTAAATAACATACTTTGGGCTTTTAAGATCTCTGTGTATAATTTTATGTGCATGAAGATAGGCCATTCCAGCAGCAATTTGTTTTGACCATGATACTAATCTAGGAGGTGGAACTGGTTCTCCAGCCCTAAGGAGGTCGTATAATGGTCCGTATGGACAAAACTCCATAATTATACAGTAACATGGTGCTTGTGTGCAAACACCTCTGAGAATATATAAAGATTATTTATATTATTTTTTATAGCATTTATAGTACAGCTAAAAACTTACTTAAATTGAACAATATTCGGATGATTTAACTTCCGTAAGTGCCGTATATCAGTTTCACGTGGCTCTCGCACCTTTTTTACAGCTACAACTTCTTTATTTAATTTTCCACTAAATACTGCCCCTTGTGCTCCAGATCCGAGCCATTGCAGTTCACTGATTGATTCAAACGGTATTTCCCAGTCATCCGCTAAAATTATTTGATTTCATCCTATAAATAATGTTATAAAGACTATATTAAATCTATAAAAAGTGATTACTTACTTTGATGTCCTTTAATTTTTTCATTAACAGCTGCTTTTGAAAGCATAGTCCAAACTGGACGCATGCACCCTAATATACCTTCCACCCAGCTTGATCTTTGTGCATCTAAAGTTCCAGTACCTGGAGTACATTTTGTTGCAGTTTCACTAGAGTTACTATTGCTTTCTGAATTGCTATGATTGTTATTAGGTAATTGAGCATCACGTGGGTCAGGGATAATAGGACCTCCTGCAATTCCACTCAACTGACCTAATTCTTCTTGTATACATAACATGCTAAAATAAATAATCAAAGACATTAAAAAACTTAATTTCTGAATATGAAAATGTTAAAATATTAATGAAAGAACAAAATTATTTCAATTATTTTGCTATTTTTATTCGATAAATATAATTTTTTACAATGCAGCAAAAATACTATCATGAAATATGTAGCAAATGTGTATTACGAAACTTTATCAAGCAAGAGTTACAGGAATTTTGTTTTTTACTGGAGTTTCTCATCTTGAACTACTGAAAATAATGTAATATATGATATTGTGAATTGAAATATTAACTATAGAAAAAATGTTAGTAAGGAGTAAAAATATTCTTTATTAATTTTTTTGGAAATTATTAATTTAATTTTGAATAAAGCTTCTAATATAAACTAACTGACTAACTCATAACTTTGTTAAAAGAGTAAATAATTGTCATGAAATTTTTATTCAAAATGTCAATATATAAATTATTTTTGAAAATGTACCATTTAAACAAATCTCTTTATTAACTCATTAATTTACACTAATCAAATTATCTTAATCAAACAATAATCATATTTTTTCGCTTTATAACTATTATTAATAAACTTAAGTCCCTGACATATCTGTGTTGAAAAATTTCAGAATTTAGACTCCAAACAAAAGAAAAGTGACGTTATTTCGGAAAACGCAACAAAGAGATTTGGGCATATCAAATTTTCATGTCTTATTGTCATAACAAACGATTCGTTACATACACAATCAATATGGACATGTGTATGTATTAAAATCGTCATGTTAAAACGTCATGAAATCTAATGTAAGTGAAATTAATAGGAACATTTAATCACTGAGCATCGATTTCCTTAAATGACTTATACACCTGTCAAACATGTAAGCTGTGATCATAAGTCGTGAGTCAAGTAGCTGTTATAAGCAATATCATACGATAAGTGTAAGTATCTGCAATGTACTTTACTTCTGTGTATTATGTATCTTGTGCTATATCATTTAAAAATACTCTTTCGTGTTTATATCGAAGATACTGAAATCGCGTAAGAAAGACATGTTTTAATAACTGAAAAATAGAAATGATAAAAATGACATGGGTCGTGTGATTAGGAATTATGTTTAGGACATAAATATATCTGATAAATAGAAAAGATTGACAATATGAGTTTCTATAGATGTGTTAGTGTGGGGACAAGATCAAAGCCGTCAACGATGGTGCCGTTATGCCGTTATCGGAAGCGCATTCCGACGACTTGGCCTTCGTCCTCACCTCCTCGTACCGACGTTGTTTGGAACGACCACATCGTCGTTCTGTGTCTTCCGAAGGAAAAATCGTGTAAATACCATCGTATCACGCGTAGCATATGGATATAACACGCTTGACCCATACACTGAGAGAAAGTGTCACAAAACCATGCCACTGATTGAACGTTTTCACGATAAACAAAATATAAATACGATGAAACTATACAGGATGCATACGACCACGAGACATATCGTAAACTAACAAGTTAGCCGGCAGAGGGCCGCATTTACCGTTTGCTTTTATGTGTGTATGTACAGTATGATGCATGACGATGTTACGATTAAGTGGTTGTTCGTAATTGTAGTGCATTACAATTTGACAATCGAAAAGTATACGATTATTCTACATATCATTTATAGGACAAATACATATGTACAATTGAAACATTATCAGAATTAATATCACGCAGTAAAGTTATATTTTATGATAATTAAGTTACTCCTAATTTCAAATATAAATTTTAAGGTCTATGACAGATAATTAAGAATGCGCATGCGCAATTGTACGCGCGTAATTTAATGTAAGAAAGCGTGTTATTTCAAATTTATTATATGCAATACTCGTTTTATATTTGACACTGTAAAAATACTACATTCTTACCTGTTAGTGAATATGTGCGCTTCCGGATGAGAAGGTGATAAAACTACTTGATTGACACCCGATGACGCTTCTGTTTCCTGAGATTCAAATTTGTACATCTCAGGTTGCGACAGTGTCTCTGTCCCGGCAGGAGTACGCATGGTTGCTTATTGTTTTGTATTCCAATTCTGTAATATAATTTATCATTTGATAAGTAATACAATTTATGGATGTAAATTTCCTTACTAATATTATTTTAAGTAAGAGAACATTTTTGACGCTTGTTACATGCACGTGTATATCGTCAAAAAATGTATTCGTCGCAATGTTACTTTATCAAGAGCGAAGACCAGAGGAAAAAGAGAAAAGACGAATAAGAAATCACCTTTAGCATAACATGGGGAGGCTGGGTTCAATGGAATGCCGATCTAGTAAGAGGCGTGGTATGTGGCCGTCACATACCAAACAACCGTGCTTTTATTTTTTGTGCAGATTCTTTAGGTTAAACCTAATCATACTTGCATTTTTAGCCGATAATTAAAGAAATCACGCTTTCTAACAGAATATTAGCACGAAAGGTAAAGTGAAAGATTTACTTAAAATTTGAGTATTGCATATAGCTTGTCTTTTATTTAATACTTATGAAACAACAAAAGTCTTTGCTTTTTTTAAATTATAAAATCTTTGCAATTTTGTAGCAAAAATAATGCGACAGAAAATAAGAGGATTAATTAAAAATCCAACCGGTTTTGCAAAAAACCTTTATCAGATACTGGTTTAAACACGGAACCCTTTCGCGCTACGAAAAGAAAAAAAAAGGATACAGAGTTTTGTATAGTGAGTCATTCGTAGGTGTGTCTTGGATTAATCCGCAGCACCTGTGCTAGGTAAGGTCTAATATACTAGGAACCACCTCCCGAAACCTAGATCTGTTGGGAGAAGGGAGCGGGGCAGGAGGGATATTTCGTGCTTCCAAATATATTTATTTGGGATAAATACAAAGAAAGACGTTATTAATGGTTTTTTATGATTATTCAAATAATTTTATTTTCAAAATTGAATATATGTTCATTTTATTTACAGAATATATTTCTAGAGCTGGAACCTTCACATGATACAATGCAGGGGTTTCTGAAAATTTTGCTAGAGTTAACAGATCAATGTTCCAAAAGAGTGAACATGTTGCACCCCACGTTTCTTGAACAGACTATTTCCGTGAGTAAAGTTGGGGAAGAATGAATCGTAATGAGTAGGGTGCTCATTGTCTATCCTGATTTGTCGCTTTGTTGACCAGAATGCTATAATTTCCGGGTATGTGTGAACATTACGATATGGATGGTTAATATTAAATTATAATATATTCAGTATATCACAAAGTAGATTAAAATAAGGAATTATGTGTACATGACTAATGTTATAGCGGCAAATTTAATAAGTTAACAGAAAATATTACGTCAGCTTCAAACCTTTATATTTTCGTTACATATACATATGCATGTGTGCGTTACATATACATGTGTGCGTGACTTTGTTGCATTGAGAAAAGTTCCATCGTAAGTTTTATAGAACAATCTAAAAATACTTCCAATATCGAGGTCGCGAAACAAAAGAGAAGAGTTTGATAGAAAACTTAAATACGATAAGAAATAGAAATGGTTTATTATGTATAACGTAACGAACAAATTCTGTTAATACATTGAAAGAAGGATGAAATACATATTAATGCTTCCATCATTGCATTCGTTAACATCTTTTTACGAATACACCTCCGCATCCTTCGACGGAGGTGGAAGAAATTTCAGTTTTGCTGTTGTCTGAAACGCACGAAATGCAATGTATGCGATAGAAATGATAACGTGGAAAAATATCCATGAAATGTTTTAAGTAGATCATCACTAGAATAAATTAGAATTTTTAAAAAATTTATTGATTACATAAAAAATGAATGAGCGCTATATGATCTAGTACGGAAGGTGTATCAAATAGTCTTAATTCATCGTTTATATATTGCATCATTACTATCAAAAATGAAATTCGACATGTTTATTATGTATACGTGTTAAATATTTCATTAGAGTAACATGTATAGTATTGGTGCACATCCTAGCGTTGAAATCACCCGATAAATTGAGTGATCGCGATGCTGTTTATACCATCAGTGATCGGTACACATATTGCTTTAATGCGGTTCTAACTAGACGATATTTTGATAATATTTCAAGAAAATGAACTTCACTACTTATTTTTTAAACACAAGTGAAATGAAATTCAGTGTAACCTATCTGTTCAAGGGCACGTAGTACAATGTAATAAAAGAAATATGTCACCAGAACTTAATAATAACTTTATATACTAATATCTTATATAATGTTTATCGAGAATAAACATCTTTGATATTATTGCCTTTACTCGGCTCAAAAACACAAAAAGTACATGTGTACATTGCATATATAGTGTATATTAAGAAAAGAAACTTTTTCCGAAATTATAATATACTCAAAAAATAAATAACAGGCAGTTTTTCATTTTATATACCAGTACTCATCATTTTCAACATTTTACTGGTCTTAAAGAAAACCGAACCTTATTAATATTTAAGATAAAAATCCTTTTATTTTAATACGCACGGATTAATTCGAAAAACCTGTTTTTACACAGAGTATCCTTTCTCATTCATCGCCTTTCTTTAAAAGCGTTCTTTTCTCATTCATACGAAAATAATGGACGCTTTTACTGAAGAAGTAATAAGAATACAATTCAAAGTGCCGACAACTTGGGCCAAATGACGCTTCAGTGTTTGAGACGAGACGCATGAAACGTGCACCACTACGACGCGACGGACGGAACGAGATTCGTGCTCAGTGCAGAACGATCGGGAACGTGAGCTTTCACTTTCCTCGAGCGGCTTGCACAAGCGAGACACTACCGTGGTCAGGGCGCACGACATTTGGTACGAAAAACTCGTCGAACCATGAAGCGTCGGATATTCAGACAACGACGATACCTAAAAGTTTCCCGTGTTTGAAAACCAGAGAAAAGGAAGAGAAAGAGTATGGAGAAGACGCTTTATTGATTAAGCTCGGGCAACCCCTCTTTTCTTACCTTTATAAAAAATATATCTGCCGACGATGAACGACGACAGTGGCAATCCCCTACCAAGTATCCATATAGTTGTATCTGGCGCCATACATTTGCGAAGTCTTTGGAACTGCTAAATCTGACACTATAAGCACGAGAGTCCTCGACTCTTTCAAAAAACGTATCCTCGTGTTGCACGTCACGATAATCATGCAAAAGACATATATACGTGTCTTCACTGTTCAAATGATTACACTAGTACATACGCGCGAAATTGTAAGCGAGCTCAAAGAGCCGCGGATTTATTCTCGATTGACGGTCATGAAAACAACCCCACAACACCCCGACGCACGACGCGTCCAGCGGACACTAAACAAAATGGCGCGTACCATCGTCCATGGCTTCGACACCAGAGTGCGCCTGCTTTCTGTGGGAGTGTGTAAAGACGATGGGTTCTGTATCTAGTAGAGGGAGACAAAGTACCGAACAGGTTCGTCTATTCAAACCACGCCTCTTGGTATTCGAGTCGCGCACACGAATACTACTACGTGCTGTGTTCTATGTATCCGTGCGCAGGTTTACAGGGAGGCATGTATACTTTCGAAGAATCCTGTTAATTTGTTGATATCTTAAAATAACATATTTTGATATTCCATTTGTTATAGTAGTTTCAATGATCTCATTAATAAACGTCGCACAATTAAAAGTGTAAGGATACAGAGCAGATATTGATATATTATTTAGAAATAACCTTACAATTAATAATATACTTTTTGAAGAGGCAGCTATGCGACCCTGTATATGTTAGATGGCGCCACTACTGTACACGCTACTTCCTTCAACCCCACATTATGAAAAATCACTAACTTAAAGCTTTGGAACATTATCTTCTAGATTTTATGAAAGAGGAAGAATAGATAAATTCCATGTTGATTACATATGCCTCAAGATTTATGTAATTAATTCATATTCAAAAACCTTGTCTTTTTTTATGGCAATACATACATACTATTGCCAGATTTAAAAGATTAGTAGTGGGGTATACTTAATCTTAAAGGTGCTCAATAGTTAGGATATGCAGTGGGGGCGATGAAGGGGCAGCAAACGAGTTTCTGACAATCGTAGCTGTACCTGTAACGCTTGACTGATGCTAGAGAACGGTGTGGATAGTGCATCTGTCGTTGTTTATATAGTATTCCTCACGCCATAGATTCTTTTCTTTTTTTCTACCTTTACATAACGCGTCTAAAAGTAAGACCTTGAAATATCTTAGACAACCATAACAGATCATTTTATTTAGAAATTTCAAAATGTCCTATATTGATATAATTATAAAAAATACTTAAATTTGATTGCGCCCAATAATATGTAACATCATTTATATATGTAAAATATTTAAATCTTAAAATAATCTGTAAGCGTTAAATAATCCAATATATTAGTTATTAAATATCGATAATCATGTTTTAAAAATTATATTACACAATATTCTCAAAGTTTAATTATAATTAAAGTTAATCAAATAAAATTCAAAGTTTCATTATATTTTTACAGTGATGCTGTACCATATAATACCGTTCTCAATAAATTTATTCTTTCGATTCTCCCTGGATAAACAGAAGAGGGGAAATAGATGACTACGGTTCTTGGAAATATTTTCGTTGTTTCTTGGAAATGGTCAGAACTTTTTCGTTCTGCATCATTTGGATTCAGCCGCCCCTTCGCACAAGCGCAGAATATACCTTCCTACTTATTCCTAACTCCCACATTATAAAAGGGATGTGTAGTACAAAGATGCTCGTTTTCTCATTTACTTTCTCCCACTCTCTCCAAGTTAAACTGAAAACCATTCTCGATTTGTTAAATACGTCTCGTCTTCTCTATGTTAAATTTCTTTTTATCTTTTTTTACTACATTTCTTGTTTTGTCTTTGTCATCGTTGCATTTTAGACGTAGATATCTATTATACCTACATAATATGCAATATACAACGTCGCAAGTTGGTCGATTTTCTTGTGACGTCATAGTTACCCTTCCATACGTGTTTTTGATTCCTACGTACACAATATTTGAATTCGTCACGAAAAACAGCTTGCTTTTGTGATACAAGTAAAAATTTATGTAAACAAACAATGTTGTAAAAAGTTTATAATTAACTTTTTATTTATTACATTTCAATTATGAAAACTAATTATGATTTATTATTGCTTTGCATGAGGAACCAATTCTTTATAATCTTTTACAACATTTTCAAGCACTGCGAATGCTTGTAAAAAATCATCTTCTTCTAAACCAAATTGTTTATATTGATGTAAAAATGCAGAATGAACATAAGACTTCCAAGCTTTGTTTAAAAGTATATCCAAAGAATAAGAAATTTGGAAATTATTGGTTATCAATGCAAGAAATTTATCATGGTTTAAGAATTTTCGGTTTTGATGCAAATGAGTGAACCAATTAATTGTATTCCAGTCTGCATATAAATGTTTTTCTTTAAATATGTCTGTTACTATAGGATCTTGTTCTGATGCTATTCCACGAGTTATCAAAACGTTTGATATTGAGCAAGCATATGTATGATGTGTGGTGTTGCTTAATGAATTAGATGGTATTTTTAATTCAACATTAGTTAACTGTGAATTGAAGTTTGATATTCTAAGCGTTTGCTTTAAATGATGTATATATGAATTCCAATTATACACAGGTTCATAGTTTGCGAATGCTGCAGGTATATGTGGGCTACTCTTGATTGTTGCTATTTTATATGAAGGGTGACATGCTATCTGTGATAACAATGAATTTATGTTATGGTTTATACAATCTACTGGTTGAAATACAGCTAGTAGCTTTTCTGAAATAACCTCATTCATATCTTGTAAATTTGTAGGTGATTTCTTCAATAAATTGGTACATATATTATATATCTGTTCATTCTCAATTAAAATATTGATATCACTTTCACTGTAAAGTTTTGCTAAAGTCAATAATGTATTATAATTTTGTGTACATACTTCTCCAAATGAAAATGGTAATATTGTTGTGTTAACAATAGATTTTTTACCATATTCTTTACGCAATAGTTCTGTAATATAACTTCCAATGCCAGATCCTGTTCCACCTGCAGAACTTAGTAACAAAAGAAATCCATCAAAATGATCTAATTTTTCAATTTCTTGTCTGACACAATTTAATATCACATTGCTTAATTCATATCCTTTTATCATATAACCAAATGCCCAATTATTTGCACAACCTCCGCCAGCTTGACAAATTACATTCGTTGTTGAATATGTCCATGAATTACTTTTATCGTTATAAATCTTACTTATTACTTTTTGCTCAGTATCAACAAGAACTGCTCTTGCCAAACGTTCATTACTTTTAGATATACCATTAAACCATTTATTAAATGTGTCTTCTGAATATTGATAATTAGCCTTATATGATACACCTGTATTTGTACATTCCAAATCAGATGATACTTCTGAGAATAATGTATGTCCTAGTTGATTTCCACATTGCCCAAATTGTATGGTAAGCATTATTAAAATATATCATTTGCACAAGTTACAAAAGTAGTTCATTATATTATCAAAACAGAAAAATACATCTTGCTTGTTACATTCGACTGAAGCGTATTTAATACACGAAAATAGATATAAATGTGACTTGATTGAAATGATTTGTATTTAAAGATATAAGATACAGACAGTCATAAAGAAAAGTAAATTAGCTATTAATATTTACACAAAGTATAACATTTTTTTATCGAGGAAATGTGTACTTGTTAAGAAAAAGATTCATTTCGAATAGTTACATAAGTTGTTTTGAAGGTTCATTGACAAAAAAAACAAATTTAAGTTAGATTATAAGTAGGACTGCTACATGATCAGTAAAAGGTAATGTTTGTAAATAGTTTAATAACTCACCGCGAGATCACGCAATCATAACGCACAATGGAATTGTTAAAAATAACAATAACGGTTTGTAAATTATTGGTTGTAATGTCTTCAAAAATATTATATTTTATTTTTTTTATTATTTATCTATTGGCTTAGAATGAACTTCCGGCTTTATATTTTTTCTCTTATTTGCAAATTTACCTCCCGCACTTTCGCCATCTTCATTCATCTTTTTCATTTATATCATATGCATTCTGTTTACGGACTATAAATATCGTACTATATATTTAAGGGTATATTATATATATATATATAAATAATATAATTATATATATATTAATATTATAATATATTAATTATATATATAATTATATATATTATATAGAACATTTTTGTACATTAGTACAAGATATATTCGAAAATATCTGTATACGATATAAAAATAAATTACAGAAAATTTTCATTGTATGTAAATAAATTAATATCTTGGTAGTTCAAAATGTAGTTCGTATATGAGAATAAATAAGCATACAATAAATGTCATTAAATATTATTTAAGCCTTATTTTATATAAAGACTCTGTTGAAAAGTTTACGACCAATATTATAATTACTAGGTATAATATATTATTTCTAAAGACGGGTATGTGTCATTAGTGATTCTCTTGAATATTAGTTATTTTTATTAAAGATGAAAAATTTTTTTTTTATAACATACGGTTATCGCAAATGCTCCAAGAATATGCTATTCAAATCAACTTCACAAAAAAATCAATAATGATTACTCTGCTTATATAAAATAATTAAATTTTTTTAACAAAATTATAGAAGATGTTTTTAATGTATTTAACGTGATTAATGTTTTGATATCAACGTAAGGTAAAGTTTAACATTAACGAAAACCAGTAATGTAGATGTCTTTAACGGAAGAAAGATGTACAGTAAAACATTATGTAACTAAATTTATTTTGTTTCACTTGTCTCAAACATTTTTTTTAGTTACTTAATACCTTGAACTAATAACAAGATTATACATATATATATATTTAAATTTTATGTATAATGAAAGATTCTTTGAAACATGCAAACATATTGCATATTTTGGCAGATAATCTTCAAAATATGAGTGTTTTTTATCAACTGCTATGCTACATATGTATACATGTATAATCGGAGCGTTAACCACTTAGATAACACGAGACTTAAGTGTCAAATAAGAAGTAACATAAAAGTTAAGTAGGAAATGATTATAATAGGTTGCGTGTAATATTATAAAATAAACTCGCGTGTTAATTCATAAAAAAATAAACAAGTACAATCTAAAAGTAGGTATGTAATAATCTATACTACTCTGATTTCAAGCATCATTATCATGCAAACAAAATGTGAGATGGGAAAACACAGTGGGATAAGTTCATTGCTATTATCATATCGTATCTAACTTTACAAAAATAAATATTGCTAGCAGCAAGTTGCACGGTTGAACTCTGGATTTCAGTGACTTACAATTCAACGAGATGTAAGACTAGAATTTCCAGTTGTATACGACAAAAAAAAAGACGGAGAGAGAGATTGCAAACAATTTTGCGGTTTGGTCGACAAATCATCGACAGTTCGTCATGACGACAAATCACGGATAGATAATACCGACGCTGGACAATCCTATTTAATCAGCTCGCTTTAGTTTTCATTGATTGAGACCTCGTGTCTTATCGTAAAGAGATTCGTGAAATGGTAAAAGTGCTGCTTAACTGATAATAATGAATTGGGCGTGAACATTTCACCAGCTTCTTTTTAAATCTTCCTTTAGCTTCATTTTAATGTACGCCAGTGACGTATCGAATACTTCCTTCTCCAACCGTGTGTGCTAACGACTGTCACGTCCTTCGTGAAACTCGTTGAACGTCACAAAGCAGTGACGTAGAGTTGTGAAACGACGTGAGACGAAGCGAAGACAGTGAACGAAGCGATAGGATGTTAATATTAGTCGAATCGTTTACGAATATCCGCGACGCGTCGGATTACGTCTAATTTTTTTTATGTGCCATACATTTTTACGGGGTGTGAAAACACGAGTTTATCTGTGTCGAAGTTCCAGCTGCGACCTTCGGAGGCGCGTGGTATCACCGGTAATAGTGTCCGACAGTACAGAATCATTATAAGATTAACATTTACTTTATGAACGTGTTTTCATAATTATATCAATTTTATATATAAATATATATATATATATATATATATATATGTATGTATGTATCGCATGTGTAAATGTACAGTGAGTGGCATGCACAAAGTATTTGGAAACCGTACAATTTTTGAGAGTTCCGTTCATCGATATCTTCCTCTCGAGCAGCGTCGATGAAAATTCAACTATAAAGACGCCATGTTAGAAGCTGATAATAATAATTAGAGGCGCAGACAAAGTGACTGTGGTCGATGGAAACGATGATCTGTGCGAGGTAATTCCATTATGATTCACTCGATACTCACTTGAAACTAAAATTACTCTAATCGTTCTTCGTCATTGTTAACTTTCTGCATAATTATTATTGTTATTATCAAACTTCTTGTCATCTTCTGTATCTTTCTTATTACAATTTTCCTTGTAAGTGTTTTCCCTTCGACATCTTCCGATTCTTTAGCTTTGTCATGTTTAGTATTTTATGATTGCGTAAATTTTATAGTATACATTGATCTTCGCCCTATTAGTGCGATTAACACCACTCCAAATACATATTACGATAAGTCATTACTAGCTAGTCATAACTAACTGAAAAATTAAAAAATTAGAATAATAACATAATTTGTTCGTTTTGTTATTAAATTTGTTCAATAAATGGAAAAGAATGGAGCAAATGTAAATATAAATATTTCAAGCCATTCGGTACCTCAAAAATTACTTTGATGATCTAAATTGTAGGCCATTATGTGAATTGATCATAGATTAGTAACTTTCTAAATATGTATCCATTCTACAAGTGATTAACGATAATGTTTGCTCGGAATGTCTTAGGAATAGAAATGTGTTAGGAAAACAAAGGATATAATATCCTACAAAAGATTTTATGAAAGGATTATCCAATCATTTATAGCATATACGTATTGTTTGTCAAATGATATGTCTAATGTTCTGGAATTCACAAGTATAGATCGGTCAGAATGTATGTATATGATTATATGCAACTTAGCGTATTTATTGTTACTGAGATATATTGGTCGAAATATAAGACTGAATCAAATCTCAGCGTAAACGTGAATTATTAAATTCTATTACCTGCGTATCTTTATCGCTAATCTCTTTTATTATTCTTATTTCATTTTCAAACTTAAATTCTTCATTAATCACATTGTATGAACTTATCATCTATCGTACATGTTCTCCATTCATGCTATACTACTTGGTTGAAGATACCTCATTAAGAAAATAGTTTCATTTGCATATTTAAACTACTTACATTCATAGTGTACAATAACGTAATTAAAATGTATGATAAGTAATTAAATTTTTTCGTGAGCATACAAATTTTGTAACGTGTTAAACGGACTCTTTCTTTCTGCAGTGTGTTGGTATGGTGACATTGGTGCAACAGCATCGACAAACGGACGAAAACCAATATCTAAAAGATTCAAATCAAATAAGCAACGCCTCCATTGAAAATCGCGATAACGAAAACTGTGGAGGTGAGATAGTGCATTCTTCTGTTGATACTGTGGTTAGCGTCACCGGAAATGGCAGTCTTGCCGGTTCCTCTACGCAGTGCAGTAACATAGAAGATGACAGTGAGGATGATGAAACGGATATCGATGAAGGAGATTGGGTACCAGACTTACCCGTGCCGGCGGTGTTTAAGCAACATCAAGAAGTGACCACAGTCGATGGCAATGTGGTGCTTCCAAATGCAGATGTCTCGAATTTTGGTGATGTACGCGTGAAGAATTCGAGTAACGTGCATCTTGGTAACAAAACCTTCTATAAAGGTCCAGTAACAATAAAGCAGTTCGTTTACACGAACCCGACTTCGATACAGGAACCCAATACGAAGAGCGATAATGTTCAAGCATCGAATGCAAATACCTCCGATTTGTCGACTACCAAAGGAGCTTCGACTGCGATCTTATCACAAAATCCTGATCTCCGTAACGGTAATTTTTTTTAGTAGTCTGCCCTCGATAGGTACTGTGCGTGTTTAGGTTTCTGTGGATGTTTTTATGGAAATCTGTAAACACGATCGTAACAGACATAGGATCCATTAGGTTTAGCTACATATAAGTTTCATTGGCTAGCTATGGAATCTAAATCTTCTCCATTTTTTTCGATGGATTAATTTTGAATGCACTGAGCCTAAATGCAGACGAGCCACTTTTGTCTGCGCGATATTGTTGCAATCATATTTCTTTCTTTATTTCCTTAACTAAGAACAACGGAGACAGACATATGATCGCCGCAATATTGCGCGGATGAAAGTCGCTCGTTTGCATCGTGCCTGATACCGTGATTGTCTTTATTTTCTGGAAACTATTTATAGATAGTTGACTATTTGAAATAGTCTTATTTTAAATATAACTGAATGATACCAAAATAAAAGGTGTTGTCTATTGTATTTTATCTCATACTAAACACTTTTCAAATATTTTCTCTACAAATGTTGGATTGATTAATTTTTTATGCGTAAATAAAATTTCTTTTATCGTAAATGCGTAGACCTCTTGTCGTTAACGATGCAATTTTATCATTGCACAGTTATTAAATGGAAATGATACAAACGACAGGAAATAATGATATTTTAAAATCTGCGTTAGGAAATTGATAAAATACGGGGGAATTCCAAGAATTAGCAGAGACAGCTACGAACGATTTCGCAGACCATATTTTTTTCTTCACAGTATATAGGTACTTCGATCTAGTTCTATCACTGTACTTCGGGTTTAAAATCCTATCGTTCCCGTCATTACGCTAACAAAATAATGAATAAATCAAAGTCGTGTATTTGTTTTTATGTCAGAATAAAAAGGTATGTGCAGCTTATAATAGATACAATCTTAAATGATGTTAATATATATAATATGCAATTTTTAATCCGCACGGTATTTGTATTTTTATATTTTGATTTTATTTAAAAATATGTTTATTCTGACATAGATTGAACAAGAACAATGAGTGCTATGAAATTAGAACAAAAAACGCTGGTGACAGATGTAAGAAATTTTTAAGAAAAGATTAAAACGTATAAACTAAATATTATTAAAATTATCTGTATAAATATATTAGTAATAATATTAGTAATGTAATGATTTTTTTCGTCTAATAATACTTTTATGTTATTTTAGTAACAAAATGGGTGTGGACCTGGCGATGCGCAGCATTTTTGTGTTTACTAGCTTTGCTTCTTATAATTGTCGTTGTCATTGCGAATGTATACCTCACGCGCAATTCTACTACTACAACATCTGTTGGTTTTCCGCAAATTCCAGATTCTGGACTCGGAGGTAATATTCATAACTTTCTTAATCATTATATTTCGTTAATTTTTGTTATACTTGTCAATCAATTAGTAGTTTAACGATAATTGGAAATGTCTGAAGAATTAATATATTTGTTGCTTGTCAACGAGTTGTTTGTAACTAAATTATATTGGTTAAATTACAGATAAAGTAAAAAATGTTCGTTTCATTGAACGAAATGAATGGGGTGCTCAACCACCTACGACAGATTTAACAAAGATGAAACTTCCGGTACCGTACGTGATTATTAGTCATACGGTAACTGAATTTTGTAGAACACAAGCGGGATGTACATTTCACGTTCGTTATATACAAACATTTCACATAGAATCTAGACAATGGTCGGATATCGCTTATAATTTTCTTGTTGGTGGCGATGGATACGTATACGTTGGTCGCAGTTGGGATTTTATGGGCGCTCATTCCTTTGGATTCAATAATATTAGCATAGGTATTTCTTTTATCGGAACGTTCAACACCGTAATACCACCTAAAAGTCAACTGTATGCTGCGCAACGACTTATCGAATTGGGTATTGAAAATGGTAAAATTGCGCCGGATTATAAATTATTAGGACACCGACAAGTCTCTCGGACTTTAAGTCCAGGAGATGCATTATACAGTGTCATCCAAACTTGGCCCCATTGGTCACCATCGCCATAAAGAAATCTTTCTTTTTGTACAATACGATGTATCAGTGATATTTCAAATGTATTCAATTATATATTCTTATCGTCCGAAATACAGATGTACATTTGTACAAATTTCGAACAATTAAATTCTGTTTGTATTTATGTCTTCATGTAGCAATTTAGTACGTACGTTACCTTATTGATAATATTTGGACTATGACATTTTATATAAATTTATTGTAAATTAATCTGCAGATATTTAGATATATCTGATAAAATGTTAAATAAAGTATGAAACTATAAAGGTGTTATAAGGATCTTTTCTTAGGATTAGGATAAGATATTTAAGAAATGTCATATTTTTCGCTGTTAATGGTTATATCCGCATAATTTTTTATGCAGATTATTGCAGATGTATTACAGAAAATTATAAATAATTTACAATACATACTGTGAGAACAGGGAATTGCGTAAAAAGGTATAAAAGAAATAATCATATCAAGTTCTCTGTTCCAAATACTAACTTTTTGGAGGGATTTATTCTACAATTCATTGCTACATTAAATAATACAAGATAGATTGTACCGCCAAAAATTGAGGTAGCAATTAAATTTTAATTCTTCATTGTCAGAGGGCGTTAGAATCGTCTTCAGCGCAAATCGTTCAGTCTTATTTACAATTTTGATGTGTTTTAATTGAGAAAGTTTGCGGAACGCGAAAAGGATATAGATGCTTATGAAATGATTGATTATGGAACACATATTGTTTAAGGCAACTGTTACTAACAGTAACAGCATCCTTAAAGGAAGTAGATGTTGTTAAAAATGCGAGCCGTATACTATTTTATAGTTTCGAAGATAGCCATTTTGGCGGGTGACGTGTTTGCATGCCGTGTATTGACAGCCATAACATAAATGATCGACGTTGCATGTAATATGGCGATAATTGCTTTTCCGATGTAGAAGAAGTAAAGAACATGGTAATTCGTGGCTGAGTTAGGAAAAGATTGATAGAATTTTTCACAATGGTGAGAAACATCGATGAATTTGAGATTGGTGGAAAGTAAGTAAATGCGTAGATCTCTTGTTGTTAATCCCTTGGCCTATAATCACGAGCGAGACTCGTGGCACGGGATTTGTGCCATAAGCGAAAACCACGAATCCAAAAACACTATTTGTCCTCAAACGTTGTTTATTATTTCACAATTCCCTTTGTAGCCCCTAAATATACATGTCATAAGAGGTATACATCTTGCGCCAGTTCGGGCACACGGCTAAACAGATGAATGGCACGGCGCGCGACCGAACTTCTTGCTTATTATGGCTCGCGCGATGGGCAGATAGCGTGTAGGCCAAGCGGTTAATTATGCAATTTTATCATTGCACAGTTATTAAATGGGTATGATACAAACGACAGAAAATAATGATATTTTAAAATCTGCGTTAGGAAATTGATAAAACACGGGGGAATTCCAAGAATTTGCAGACAGCTACGAACGATTTCGCAGACCATATTTTTTTCTACACAGTATATAAGTACTTCGATGTTGTTAAAAATGCGAGCCGTATACTATTTTATAGTTTCGAAGATAGCCATTTTGGCGGGTGACGTGTTTGCATGCCGTGTATTGACAGCCATAACATAAATGATCGACGTTGCATGTAATATGGCGATAATTGCTTTTCCGATGTAGAAGAAGTAAAGAACATGGTAATTCGTGGCTGAGTTAGGAAAAGATTGATAGAATTTTTCACAATGGTGAGAAACATCGATGAATTTGAGATTGGTGGAAAGTAAGTAAATGCGTAGATCTCTTGTTGTTAATCCCTTGGCCTATAATCACGAGCGAGACTCGTGGCACGGGATTTGTGCCATAAGCGAAAACCACGAATCCAAAAACACTATTTGTCCTCAAACGTTGTTTATTATTTCACAATTCCCTTTGTAGCCCCTAAATATACATGTCATAAGAGGTATACATCTTGCGCCAGTTCGGGCACACGGCTAAACAGATGAATGGCACGGCGCGCGACCGAACTTCTTGCTTATTATGGCTCGCGCGATGGGCAGATAGCGTGTAGGCCAAGCGGTTAATTATGCAATTTTATCATTGCACAGTTATTAAATGGGTATGATACAAACGACAGAAAATAATGATATTTTAAAATCTGCGTTAGGAAATTGATAAAACACGGGGGAATTCCAAGAATTTGCAGACAGCTACGAACGATTTCGCAGACCATATTTTTTTCTACACAGTATATAAGTACTTCGATCTAGTTCTATCATTGTACTTTGGGTTTAAAACCGTATCGTTTCTGTCATTACGCTAACAAAATAATGAAAAAATCAAAGGTGCGTACTTCTTATTATGCCAGAATAAAAAGGTATGTGCAGCTTATACTAGACATAATCTTAATTGATGTTAATATATATAATATGCAATTTTTAATTCGCACGGTATTTGCATTTTTATATTTTCATTTTATTTAAAAATATGTTTATTCTGACATAGGTTGAACAAGATCAATGAGTGCTATGAAATTAAAACAAAAACGCTGATGACAGATGTAAGAAATTTTTAAGGAAGGATTAAAACGTATAAACTAAATATTATCAAAATTATCTGTATAAATATATTAGTAATAATATTAGTAATGTAATGATTTTTTCGTCTAATAATACTTTTATGTTATTTTAGTAAAAAAATGGTTGTGGGGCGTTGGATGCGCAGCAATTTTGGTTTTAGTATCTTGCCTTCCTGGAATTATCATTCTCATTACGAATAAATACCTCGCGCGTAATTCTAGTACTACAACATCTGTAGATTTTCCGCAAATTCCAGATTCTGGGCTCGGAGGTAATATTCATAACTTTCTTAATCATTATATTTCGTTAATTTTTGTTATACTTGTCAATCAATTAGTAGTTTAACGATAATTGGAAATGTCTGAAGAATTAATATATTTGTTGCTTGTCAACGAGTTGTTTGTAACTAAATTATATTGGTTAAATTACAGATAAAGTAAAAAATGTTCGTTTCATTCAACAAAATGAATGGGGTGCTCAGCCACCTACGACAGCTTTAACAAAGATGAAACTTCCAGTACCATACGTGATTATTAGTCATACGGCAACTGAAATTTGTAGAACAGAAGCAGAATGTGCATATCACGTTCGATATATACAAACATTTCACATAGAATCTAAACAATGGTCGGATATCGCTTATAACTTTCTTGTTGGTGGCGATGGATACGTATACGTTGGTCGCAGTTGAGATTTTATGGGCGTTCATTCCTTTGGATTCAATAATATTAGCATAGGTATTTCTTTTATCAGAACGTTCAACACCGTAATACCACCTAAAAGTCAACTGTATGCTGCGCAACGATTTATCGAATTGGGCATTGAAAATGGTAAAATTGCGCCGGATTATAAATTATTAGGACACCGACAAGTCTTTCGGACTTCAAGTCCGGGAGATGCATTATATAGTGTCATCCAAACTTGGCCCCATTGGTCACCATCGCCATAAAGAAATCTTTCTTTTTGTACAATACGATGTATCAGTGATATTTCAAATGTATTCAATTATATATTCTTATCGTCCGAAATACAGATGTACATTTGTACAAATTTCGAACAATTAAATTCTGTTTGTATTTATGTCTTCATGTAGCAATTTAGTACGTACGTTACCTTATTGATAATATTTGGACTATGACATTTTATATAAATTTATTGTAAATTAATCTGCAGATATTTAGATATATCTGATAAAATGTTAAATAAAGTATGAAACTATAAAGGTGTTATAAGGATCTTTTCTTAGGATTAGGATAAGATATTTAAGAAATGTCATATTTTTCGCTGTTAATGGTTATATCCGCATAATTTTTTATGCAGATTATTGCAGATGTATTACAGAAAATTATAAATAATTTACAATACATACTGTGAGAACAGGGAATTGCGTAAAAAGGTATAAAAGAAATAATCATATCAAGTTCTCTGTTCCAAATACTAACTTTTTGGAGGGATTTATTCTACAATTCATTGCTACATTAAATAATACAAGATAGATTGTACCGCCAAAAATTGAGGTAGCAATTAAATTTTAATTCTTCATTGTCAGAGGGCGTTAGAATCGTCTTCAGCGCAAATCGTTCAGTCTTATTTACAATTTTGATGTGTTTTAATTGAGAAAGTTTGCGGAACGCGAAAAGGATATAGATGCTTATGAAATGATTGATTATGGAACACATATTGTTTAAGGCAACTGTTACTAACAGTAACAGCATCCTTAAAGGAAGTAAATGTACAGAGCTCTCAGGGATTGAAAATTTTTATACATGTTTATAATTTTTCGATTTATATATCAATATAATGTTGTTAAAAATGCGAGCCGTGTACTATTTTATAGTTTCGAAGATAGCCATTTTGGCGGGTGACGTGTTTGCATGCCGTGTATTGACAGCCATAACATAAATGATCGACGTTGCATGTAATATGGCGATAATTGCTTTTCCGATGTAGAAGAAGTAAAGAACATGGTAATTCGTGGCTGAGTTAGGAAAAGATTGATAGAATTTTTCACAATGGTGAGAAACATCGATGAATTTGAGATTGGTGGAAAGTAAACAGAAGAAAGGCCGCGTATAATTTTCAGCCATGGTGGGGGGGGCAATGCACCATGGGAACAATTTGCGACAGGCGCATGCGTAGATCAGTTTACAGTTGGAGCTTGGAAGAAAATGGCGTCAGCTAAGTTTCTGGAGGAAGCTCTGAGCACGGACGTCGATGAATCTGCAGTGAACGCGATAGTGGGCTCCCTTGAAACACAACTGGTAACATCTACGCCAGCTGTATCTGGTCACCAAGTAAGTTCTGCATCAGTCAGCCAGCAGAATCATCAGGTGAACAGTGGTATTTCCAACGGGGGCACCATCACCGCGGTACAACCACAGAAACATGGGGTTTCAAACGGTGGCGGTGCTACTACAGTAAATAGTCTGATGAATCAAGAAGTCACGAAGTCTATTACCACGAGTACTCTTCTCCCTGTAAACGTGGTTACCTCAAACACAGTGGCGCCACAGGTTACTACACAACAGCAGCAACAGCAGCAACAGCATACACAGTCAGCAGTCCCCCCTGCTGCTTATATCAATCAAGCTACTACAAACCAAGTGACCAGCAATCAAACGACAAATATACCAAGCCTTACCAAAACACATGAACCTGTCAAAATAATTTATCCTACTGTTGGTCAAGTAATTGCAACCACAGGGGTAGCTAATGCAAATAACAAACTTTCTTTTCCTGCACAAACTGTTGGACAATTGGCCAATGGTACTTTGGGAATAACTTCACCGGCAGTGTTACAGACAGCATCAAATGTTTCTAATGTTGGTTCTGTCAGTGAAACAGGCAGTCAAACAGTTGCTAGTGTAAATAAGCCGACAGGTACAGCTTTGGTGATAAAGACTAGTGTAGCACAAAGTGGCATGGTTTCTGTTCCAATGTCTGTTCCTGTTTCTGTGGCTGGCACAGTCAGCACAGCACTACAGGGTAAAGCTGGAGTTACATCTACGATAGTACCTAGCAATGTGCAAATTCTTAATGTTAATGCAATGCGTCCTGCCACACCGGTGACAGGACAACAAGCAGGCAAGCAAGTTGCATCTAGAGTAGTGATTGGTCCACACATGCTTGGAACAAGACCTGGAGGTCCAGGGGTAAGATATTTGTAGTTTATAAACCAATTTTGATTTTATTATTTTATTATCAAGAATAATCTGTGATATTGTATCGAAAAATATTTTTTTATAAATTTTGGCTTCTATTATGTGTGCGTTAATGTCCTTACTGTTTTAATTGTTTTAAAATAAAAAAAAATTTTTTTTAGATAACATTGCAAACATTACATGGTCTTCAACCTGGAACTCAGGGTCATATACTATTAAAAACAGAAACTGGACAGTTTCAATTACTAAGGGTAGGGCCAGCTCCAACAGCAGGTACACCTGGTGGTACTACAGTTACACCAAATAGTATAGCAGGAAATGCAGTGGTTGCTGCACCATCTCCGGGCACTACCTATCGCTTAGCCTCAGTGCCGGCTGTAAGTAGGCTGAACACACAGTTCACTGGCCCACCACTCGCCACGTTAAGAAAATCTATTCAGGTGACGCACTCTTATACCTCTTACAAGACTCGATGTAGTGCAGTAGTAGATTTTTAGTTTGTGCCATTAGTTGGAATGGTGTTATTGGTAAGGCTATGTATTATGTTTATATTCTTTCATTCTATCTTTGTGTTATTTCAATCATATGAAGTTTTCTTTAAAATATAATTAGGTGTACAAATATCACTTTGATATATGCAAAGAAAGAATTTATATCTACATATTATATTATTGATTTAAGGATTTATAAAAATATCCAATTGTCATAAAACAGAAGTTTTATGTAGTATACAGAAAGTTTTATTTTTGTATTGGCTTATTTGCTGGGATGCCTCTTTATTGTAGACAGACTTTCTACATTTTTTAAATATGCAATTATTTTATTAAATTCAATGCTATTATCATTCGTATAGATATTGCATGTTATATTGGTTAAGGGTATCATAGAGTAACTCATTTTTGAAATTTTGGAAAGTAAAGACATTTATATATTTATTGCAATTATTTATAATAGAACAATGACACTTTCTTCATATTTATATAAATTTTTTATTTTCATTGAAATGAAATTCATATTTACACAACTTTAGAAATTATTTCCAAATCATAGTAATTTATATTCAAGGTAATTTAAAAATTATTATTATTATATTATTAGTTGAAAAAGATAAATATGAAGTTAACATTCTTGATTCTTCATGTATTAATTTTCTGCTAGAATTTCATATATAAAAAATTATATTTTATTAAGTTGATGCATTTATTAGTTCCTTATAAAATATTTCTTCTACAAACATGTACAGTACTTATGTATGTAAAATAAAATCAAGTATATTATGTACAGCTTAATAAAAAGCAATTAAAGAATAATATAGTAAAACAAATTACGAGTCTGTACAAGGTACAAGTGCGTCTTTAATACATAATACCATTAAACTTATTGTATCAAATCACAATATATGTATCTATTGACATCTGATTTCTTAAAATAATAAAAATAATTGAGAAAATCATAAAAATGTAGATTTTGTGTTTGAAGAATCAGAAGTTCAGCATGCATATAGAGGACATATGTAGATTATAATTGTAGAAATAGAAAAAGGAAAATGTGCTACGAACATTTTTATAAACTTAAATATAAAAGCATGTTCTATATATAAAATTATTATTCATATCATAAATTTGCTGTTTATATTTTATTTTTAGCAATGCTGCAAAATGCTTCTAAATACTTTTGAATGACATTGCAGTTTTGTAATTCATATAGAATTTTACAGAAGTTACAAATTCATAAATATCATTTAAAGAAAAGTGTATATATTTATTAATTTTTTAAACGTAGAATTATCAAATAAAAGTTTATTTTCTTTGTTTAATTTTAAATATAGAAAATCTTATAGTATCCGTTTATTTGTACAGACTGTGGCTGCAACTATTACAACAGCAACTACAACTCCATCAACAGTAACTGCTGCTGCTTCAAGTACTCCTACTCCACCTGTTACTACTGTTCAAACAGTTCAGACATCTACACCAGTATGTATTACATGCAATTACTAAAAAGAAATGTGTATATTAGTTGTTAAATGTAACAATAATTTTG